CAAGCGTCAATTATTGCATTCTGTTTCTGGTTGTGACAGATGTGGAACTACAACGCATTTGATTCAGCAGCTATCTCTCAGTGCCTAAGAAGGATTTTTATTAGCTTAGCGGTAAAAAAAAAGCTACGTAAGGCTAATGTTGTGAGTTCTAGTCCCACCTGAAACCTGAGTCCTGTCCAGCATCATTTGAAGAAGACATTTTGAAAGACGAAAAGCAGCTATCATTTAACTTTGTAACATTCAATATTAAATAGCAACTATCCATCCAATAATTAAGTTCAATTTATAAATTTTACACGGTTAGTAGAAAATAAGTTAAATTTGCTAGGTGTTAAAAACTGCCATACCCGATAAAAAAAGTAGAAATTTCTAGCGGTAGTAACTTTGTTAATTAGACCTGCCTATGTTTTCTCACTGGTATTTTAATCCTAATTTTTTTGAAAACTATTTCTGACCAGTAAAGATCGCCTAAATTATGCCGTAAAACATAAAACTTTGTAGCTATTTTTAGTTGAGATTACTGATTGTTTATTTGACAACTTAGTCCTTCCCCCTTCAACAAAACTGCTAACTTCGATCAGCACTACACGCTGAATGGAAACAAAGTGATAGGTACAGTAAAGTCCATCCAAAAAGCTTTTGTTCTGAAATTTTTTTTGAAACTTAAATGCAGGTAAACAGTTTACTAGTTGTCTAAAGTTCAGTTCTTTTCTTCCTAGCGAAATAAGCAACACTAAAAAGAAAAATTCTCAACAATTTTTAGCACTGTGCAGCAAACTAATTGAACTGTTATGGAAAAATTGTTTAATTTTAGAAATTGATACAGAAGTACCAGGATGTACGGAATACATAACAACCAACTGCAAATCTAAACACTGGAGGAACTTTAGTTTATAAATTAATTTGATTATTCAATATTTGTAATAAAAAAGAAAAAAAAACAAAACGAAACCCTGTATTCCTTTTTTAAAATTTGTTTTCAACTAATAAAGATTGAAAATGTTTGTAGATTTCTGATGCAAGAAGAAAAAATTTCAAATTTGAGTCGGCTACGGGATCGCATTTGACACAGTGTATCAATCGCGATCCACTGCCCGTACCACAAGTGTTAATTGCCGTTGGTTGCCGCAACAGCCAAAGGGATTATTATTCAAAGCAGCGATGCCACCGCTGATGGAGACAATGGTTTCGAAAGCGATTGGACATCTTCAAATGTTGGCATCTTTCCAGGTCGCGGATTTTTTTTTCTTATTAGATTTCTTACCCAAGGAAGTTTTTTTTAACCACTGAATTCAGCAATTGTAAGCCAGGAAGTTTTTATGTCGAGACAAAAGCAGCGGGTCCGGAAATTTTTTTAACGTTCCCTCTTTGGTAAAACTGGGAAAAGTTATGTTAGTTTTCTATTCAAAAATCAGAATTTTTTTCGTCCTGTTTTTTCTTTCTTTTTTGCTACTATATGAATTTTCCAAATTACTACTGCTGCAGTAGTCATACAGCTGATGAATGAGTCTGGTAGTTCTGTGAATTGTAAATTATGTTCTAAGTTTTTTTCTCTAACTTTCACAAGAGTTGCAGACTAGACCTCTTTGAGAAGAATAACTGTTTTTTCTTGAGAAAAGAAACGAGAAAGGATTTTTCTAAAATTGTACCACTAGTATGTTGTATGCGCATTCACTAACTATCAATTTTTGCTGTTTTAAATTTGAGTATCTTTTATATTGTCATTTGCACTTAGTTCCGCACTAGTCGGAACGAAGCATTTTGTTTTGTTGTTGTTGTTGCTGCTGCTGCTCTTGTGATACACCGTTTTTAGCGCTCTTCATTTAGTTCTTAATATACTAACTTTTTTTTTTCTCAGTAGGGATCAGCAGAAACTTTTACTTTTTTGATTACTCCGCATTCTGGTATTTGGGCTTCTGCCATGGGTGATGACTTTGAAAGGTTCTATTCCGACGTAAGTTCTTCTCTTTTCGTTTTCCATTTGTGTATCCTTTGTTGCAAAAAACTTTAGAAATTGCCTGATAATTTAATTAACAATAATGAGCACACATGTTGCAGCAAACATTTTCCTTTAATATGTCTTAACAATGTATATTTCTGAATATAACTTATAGCTAAAAGAGACGGAAAAAAAAGATGCGGTTTTGACACCGAAACAACAAATAGATCGATTACTTCGTCCAGGTTCAACGTATCTGAACCTAAACCCGTTTGAGGTATTCTTTACAGTTGCCTTACTTATGAAAAACAATGGATTTATTGAGCTAACGGTTCTGGAGTTTTTGAACTATATATTCCCTACTTTTTAAAGCGTGGCTTTTCATACTTGTTTCTTTACAGGTGCTACAAATAGACCCAGACTCAGACCTTGAGACAGCGAAGAAAAAGTATAAGAAGGTAGGGTTGTTTGCACTTTGGAATAAAGGTAATTCCATATGTTTTCAATTTCCCTGTATTTTGGAAAAGAGTTGATGAAACGTCTATTTTTGTTTGAATTTCAAAGCGTCAATTATAAGGAGGAATTTTGCTGTTCCCAATCGTTACTCGACACAGTAAATTAGAATCTTCTGCGTTAAAGGCAATGACTGAGTGGGTATTTTTGGATTAATCAAAACTGGTCAGATGACAAATGATTCTACAAATTCCTTCATGGTAGATGCATGTGAACTCGCTGTTTATGCAATGGTAGAGATGCAAAATCTAAAATACAATGGCTACATCGTATTTCATCATAATAGTTTTCCATCAGATAAGAATATTTGTGATAAGTTGCATTTCGATAGTAGGGGTCCACAACTAAGAAGGTGGTATATAGATGTTAATGAAATGGATAGAGCAGGCCTCAAAACCTTCTACGCAAAAAATGAAGGTAGGTTTCAGGAAAGTAACACAGTTTGGGGGTGAGCAATATAAGCTGCAGTAGCGCCGACCTTCTGTCTTATCTAGTACGGTACTTTGCTTGAATTTCATTACAGCTTTCCCTGCTAATACATCCTGATAAAAATACAGATGATCGAGAGAGAGCTGATCGCGCATTTGATGGTAAGTATCATTTTTTTACATTTAATTTTCAGATTTTTTTAAAAAGTAATCAGGCTGTATCTTGTAAAATAACTTCTATAATTTATTTTTGACATTGTTGTTTCAAGTGGTAAAAAAGGCGATGAAAATGATTGAAGACCCGGATGAGCTGGCCAAATGTCGTGAAACTTATACTGAAGCAAGAGCTCGGTTAGCCATAATAGTATGTTTTCAAACATTGTTTAAAATTTTTAAATTTTAAGCAAAATTTTTACTGGTATTCTGCATTAAAAACAGCCTCGTAGTATAATCCCTTGCTGTAAATTTTCAGTCTTGCCCGTTTCTAACTAAAAGAAAGTCGTTTTGCTCTTGTGATCATCAGTTTTCTGCAAGTGTTCCACCAAATATTTTTATTTTTTTGTGTTCTAGATGAGTGAAAAGCGTCGTAAACAGAAAAAGGAAGGATTAAGTGACAAGATTCCTGAAGATGATCCTGCCGTTTACAACAAAGCACTTTGGGTTGTTGTTACGAAGGTCTAAAAATTTGAATTTTACTCTTTTTTCCTATTATTAAAATTATTTTGGTGTGTTTTTTTAGGTTTTCGCTGACCGAGAAAAGAAAAGGAAAATGCTCGAAGAAAGAGCTAACGAAGAAAAGTTAGTATTCCTGCAAGTGATTTTTTTGGCAAACGTTTTAAGAGAAGTGGTAGAATAATTTTTTTACAGACGTCGGGCTGCCGAAGAGCTTTTAGCTGCTGCGGAAAAGAGGAAAAGAGAGGAGGAATTTGCAAAGAATTATGAGGTTTTTTACCTCTTATTTTCTTATCATTGATGGCATAGACTTGTTGTTATCTTTTTTAGGCGTTATTGGTGCTTCTGGTGTATGGTGGAGAGGTTAAAATTCTTTTGAAGGAAAAGCATTCTTTTTCAGGAGTCACGTGATGAGCGGAGAGGAACGTGGAGGCAGTTTATGGCTAAGAAGGAAAGGAAGGAGGGTGAGGGTAAAACCTTGCGTGGGACCGCCTTTAAACCGCCAAAGATTAAATTAGAAACAAGTGGAAAGTGAGAATTTTTACTGCGTAATGGAATTTATTATAAATGCCATATTTGTTACCGCTCTTGTTGTTGATGACCTTGCATTTATTTAATATAATTATGTCTGATAGGTCAGACTTTCTTTTTCCTTTTAACTTTTTGTTTTTCTTGAGACGCATTGTTTACAACTTTTTATCTCAATGAAAATTGAGATTTATTCAGTCTTTTAGCCTTAATCTAGAAGAAGTGCTGGAAGAAATAGTTATAATTTTATAGCTGAAAGAAGCGAAACTATTTTTCATCATGGTTGGAGAAGCAAGGTTTTTTTTTCTTACTGAAGCTCCATTTTTTGCCAAGAGTTTCGCTTGGAAAATTGTTGGGGCGATTATTGATTGGAGTTTCCGTATTAATTTCTTGCTTCTTGAACTGCAGTATTTGGAGTCTCGTACTTCTGAAGGCTGAGCAGATCTTGATAGCTTTATGATGTGTAAATATACTCCGCGTAAAAAAAATAAAGGAAAATATTACAGGAGTTATTTTACTTTTCAGTTGAAGATTCTCTCCTTAATGTTAGGTAATATTTATTCATTTCTTGACTATATTTTTGACAGTAAGTGGACTGAATTAGTTTCTCTCATCTTTGGCTTCTTGTGCTCTAATTCACTTACGATAAACAAGTAGAGTTAAAGTTTTAGTTCGTGTTTTTTCCACAGTTTTCCTTATGTGTGCTTGTGAGGTCCTTTGTACAGGTAGATTTTCTGGACACTTGTCAGCTCCTTTATGAACATTTTCACTTTAATTCTTATTGATTCGGCATTTGGTTTACTGATTTGCTGAATAGCTGTTTTGGTTATACTCTTGTTTTCATCCAGAGATTTGTTTATTGATATTTGCTTGGTGATTTGCAATAAAATGCAACTTATTTTACAACGGCTCACTCTGTTGTATCATTGACTTTCAATAGGAGATTGTCTCATTTCGTTTGAGACTTTGAGTTTCAAGCTTTTTTGCGTTCTTTTTTTCTAATTCGTGTCGCAATTTTGTTTTGTAGTCACTTAATTTGATAAGTTATCATTATAACTTTACGCGCTATAAAAGGTAGGCTGGAGTGGGATTACGTGGAACCGAAAAAAGAAAGGTTCATGACTTTTATTGGTTTCAAGTGTTTCATAGGTTTCTTTGTTTTTAGCGTTTCGATTGTTTTAATACGGTGAAAGAATTTAACTGGAAAGTTGGGTTGTTTATACTGCACTCCACAGGTTAAAAAGAACGGCGATGCACAGACAAGTGAATTCAGTCATCGTATAAGCTTAAAAATTTGCCTCACAATTACTAATACAAGCAAAAAAAAAAAGATGTAGAAAGCGTTGTCGAAGCGAGAAATCATGGACGTTCATTGTAGTAACTGTGTAGGTCATTAGACAAATTTTTGAAAAAAGTCAAGTTTTCTCAACTGTTTTTTGGGTAAATATTAGTCTGTGAAGTGTAGTCGGATTTGTATCTTTCGATATTCACACGTCTAAGTTTATGCTTGCACGGAATTCAGAGGATTCACAACTTTCATGCGTGTAGTATTTCCGTTAAGCAAAAAAAAAAAAAAAAAAAAAAAAAA